GGTGTTGATCTTCGTATCATTTCTGATGTTATTCAAACATTTGTCTCTGGTTTTGAAGAGTTTCTGCTTCTTGTCTTCTTGATTCATTAACTATGTCTGTCTTCAGATTATGACACGAGCCAGACATATCTGACACTACATGCTATCTATACATACTGAACATTTCTTTCGTTTCTTCTCTTCTTACATAGTTGAAATCAAGAGAAGAACAACCAGGCTTCTGAACTCCAATTGAAGTCTGTGCTGTTGAACTACCAGCACCACCTGTTTGTTGCTCGTCCATTGGAATTTGTTGACGTGCATTCTTAAATTCTACACTAACAATGCATCTAAAATAGTATGTTGGTTATCAATTAGTAATGATAAAGTCATATACTAAACTCTGTCCAATTCTTCATCAGTGGGTGCTAACACTGCAAGTACTTCAATCTACAAATATAATAAAATATTAGAATACTTTCCTCTTCCACGATTAAATAATTAGATAATTGATAATTAATTGTATATCTAAAATTATCGTACCTCTTAGGTAGTGAAAAATTGCTTTAATCTTCTCTCACTCATTATTTTTTTGGCTTCCATCTATGCATTCTTGGAGTCTGTAATGTCTTATACAGACGTCGTCCAAATTTGTCTTCAATTTGAGGAAATGCTTCGTATATCCAAAACTACAACAGAGAATTCAAAATCAATATTAAATACATATAAAATCAAAATATAGAGTAAATAAATTAGAAAGAAAAAAAATACTCGAAAGGCAAGGGGATATCCATGTAGTATATATCTACATTCATTTTGGCCAGACTGTTGCATTCTTTGTATTCTTTCAATATGTGATTGTTGCAATGACTTCAACAAAATGAAGTATGTCTTACGGCTCCAAGGATACAGTAAAAAATCGTTTAGCTGCTCAACCATGCCTAAAGTGCTGTAATCAATATATCTTGCCGTTGGTGTTAAAACACATTCTACCAACATCACCAATTGTAATTTTAATTTATTCTCTGGATTTTCACACAATTGGAATGCGTCGTAAAGCATTCTCATGTTAATTCTTTTTTTTCTTTCAAAATATTGATTTCTAAGTCGAGAATTATTGGGATCAAGATTAACAGATACTTCATGACAAGGTAACCCTGTGATTAGACAATTCTTGCAAGTCAAAACGAGCAAAATGACAGTCCAACCTCACCCATACATCATTCGTTTTACCACAGTCAACAAACCTCATTGTAAATTCATGTATTAGTTTACTGCTGAATTGTTGCTCTTCATCTTTATACATAAATCCATAAAGAAATCTATGAAAACTGCTACTGCTAGAGAGTAAAAGTGATTGCTCATCTACTTGAAGCAATTTTATACAATCTTTTACATATTGGTAATTGGAGTATTGAGTGATAGTAGCAGAAAACCATTGGTTTGGTGACAGTATTTAATCTAGAGACATCTGCATAAATAATAGAACATATATATGAAAAATGTCATAACGCATACCAACATATGTTTGTGATTTCATATACTTATATATGATATATCATGTAAGTTGGAAAAAAAAAATTGCTGTCAATGCATATCAATCATCAGATTTAATATATATTTTCTAATTCTGAGATTTTCTCTCCAATTTATATAAAAAAAATTATAATTTAACTTTAAAAAAAAGAATAAAAAAAAAGAGTGAGTTCTGGTCCCCGCAAACTCTCTGTATGAAATTGGTGCGGAGTCCCCGCACAGAATTGTTGCGGAGTCCCCCCATAGACTGTGCGGGGACTCCGCACGGATCGAGTGCGGAGTCCCTGCACTGCAGGCAAATTCCTCGCATGAAGCGGGGACTCCGCACGAAGCCACTTATTTTCCACACCACCAACTTCATTGTCGCCACAAACTTCACATTTCTTTCACAAATACCAACAAATTAAAAATAGTAAGTTATTCATATAAATAAAAATTATTCATAAAAATCAACTTATCTTATAATTTGTTGCTTAATTCGTTTGAAATAGACTGTAATTAGTTTGAGATTTGTTTGAGATGAATGAATTGAAGATGCAAATGAAAAATGAATGAGTTATGAATTTGAGGTGAAGAAATGAAGTAGGTTGGTGAAATAGTTACTAACATTAATTGTATTTGGCATTCTTGCAGCAAAATTCTTTCTTTTTTGACATTTATATTTTGCTTGCAAGATTCTTTGCTTTTTCTTTTTCTTTTTCTTTTGCTGTGCTCTGCAACATTTTATCATCCAAATTATTATCTTCTTTGACCATTTATATATATGGACCATGTCCACTGTCTCTCTCTTCCACTTCCAAGAAACCATCTCCAGACGCTTCCAAATATACACCTTCATTTGGTTTCTGTCGAAATTCAAATTATAAGTCTAATCTCTTCATATCATTTGCTTTCTAAATAATCTTAAGATTCCATCTTTACTACAGCAAAATTATAAATTATCTTTTACTTATATTCCCACAATTTTAAATCTAATTTATACTAACTGCCAGAGAAGATTCATACCAAAAAATTTAATTTAAACTTCAAAAGCATGTTAAAATTATGTCAAGAAAACTAAAATCTCTACATCACGCAAATAAAGACACATTAAATACAATAATTGTGCAACGCACGTGGGATCGACTAATTTATCTTTTATAATTTAAGAGGCCATTGTACTAATGAATGGTAAAAAAAATTTGGTCAAAGTGAAAATTGGTTAGTTTGACGTGGCTAAACTAAAAATACCCCGTTGGCTGTTGGTTAGTCCATGTTACCCATTTTTAGCAGCTGCTGAAAGTTTATGACAGTGTGCATCTAAGGAGATTATTGCCCGTCGGTCGGCGGTTGAAATTTGGTTGAGTAGATGGAGAGCAGCAAGAAGAAAGGCTACACGTGGGCAATTTCTGCTGGAGTCAACGCTGCTTTGGCTGCCATTTCTGCCAAATTCTTCTCATCTCAGGTAACTTGAACAATCTTTGATTAGTAACTCAAAACCCTAAATTGAAATGTTGTAGAGACATGAATCTTCGTTAAATTTAGAAATAGCATCTGCTTTCTGGGATGAGTGATGAATTATATCATTTGGTGGTATTATTATAGGAATACTTCAGCGACAAAACTAATTCGATACAAGAGAATTATCCCAAAATGGAGGGGGGGAAATCTCCCCTACTTTTGAGAAAGACATGAATGATACAAATCAAGACACATTTCCTACTTTTCATTAAGATATATACACATAGTTATTAATTTTGATAGCAGTACCAGAACTGTATTGATGATTAGGTTAGATGCCATGTATAATGTGGCTGCCTAAGATGTTTACAGCCTCTGTTGTTCTCTTCAGTTGTGTATTCTCTGGTTGATTGTGGATGTTACTGCATTTGGAAAATTAATAATATAGTCCAAGTTGCAAACAAAGGCGTCATTGCTAGTCTTGCTTTACTCCTTTACCATACTAGATTTATTTGTGTCGTATAATTTATTGCTTTCAGCATATAACGTGGGCAATGCGGGACTTATAGAGGGAGGCAAATATGAATTCAGGCCATTTGCCACCTGCTGAGGCAAATTGAAGACTGTATTATGGAGAATGGTGACTCAATTGGCTACCAACCTTCTGTACCTTATGTGTGTGTTGAAATATTGCCTAAGTTTCTTTCCTAATGGTTATGTCCCTGAGTCATGTCCATTTGAATAGTTGCATCGATTTGAAATGGACTGATCTCTTATAACATACAATTTTTGTAGCTATGGTGCACGACCAGTTGCCAAGCAAAATTGCTATGACTCAAATTAGATGTCATATGCAACTGGCTCGGCTTATCCTTTGAATTAATTATGTTAAAGCCTTCATATTATGCATTATTATGTATATGTTTACTAGGATAGGCAATTGCCTTCCATAAATATCACAAGGAAATGCCCTTTGATTTTTCTTATAATCAATACGATGAAATTTTATATGCGCATTCTTTCTCTAGTTTGATTATAACTGCACATGTAATATTTGGGTTGCTGCAATCTACATATGCATAAATCAACTTTGATGTATCATTGGTCGTTCTCAAAATGCTTGCAGTTCACTGAACTGGTACTGTCACATAAGTTGTGAGATACTTAACTGACACATTTACTTCTTGTTGACAGCTTAAATACGGCGTGGTTATAATTTTCAATGTTATAATGTGGGGATGTTATGTTAATAGCATGAAGGCTCTTTCATCTTTACAAGCTACAGTGACAAACTTTGCTACCAACTTCCTCTTTTCTGGACTGGCTGGATTCTTTCTCTTTGAGGAGGCACTACCTGCCAAGGTGATTTATTGTTTAATTTAAGAACCTAGATTGCTTGTTATACATGCTTGAAACGTTGACAGACACCCTTTGATGCTGATTCTTTTATAAAGTGAGATGCATCTGGCACTGCTAACTTTTCTGAGCTAGCAATACACTTTTCTACTATACATCTTGTAGCCATGGGACTTAATAGTGCCAAGGGATTGAATTAATCATTTGTACTAACCTTTGCTCTTGAAACAAAGCCCAAGTTCGAAGAAGTAGAGAAAACGATGTGATTTAGAACTACACAAGTTCCTGCAGTGGCCACCATGACAAAATGATTGGGATGTAGTCTTTGATTTGTTTTGTTGGTGTAGAATTTATGACAATAAGGTAGGATATCATCAGTAGATAATCTTTTTCAGGTCTGGATTTCTTTTTAGTGTAATTGAAGTATTTTCTTCAACATTTACCTGATTCTTGACTCTCCATGCTACCCCTTCTTGTTTTCCGCTTGAAGATCTATTCACCTTTGAGGCATAACCAAGACAGATTTTTATTTATTTATTTATTTATTTTTAAATAGGGAAAACGGATATAGTGGAATGGTATCAGTGGAGTATTATGAATTAGATTACAAGATTATTTTCCACATTCGTTGTTTGAGTGCTAATATATATTTATGAATCCTTTGATCTGACATTTACCACTGCCTTTGTACGATATACCCTTTGGATTTGTCTTCTTTTGGACCAAAAGGGAATAGACAATATTAAATTTTTTCAGGTGAAACTTTGTTCAAATTAAGCACGTTTTATGCCTGTTTAAATTAAGAAATCAATTTTAAATTACTTCAGGAAAATTGATAGAAAATCTTGCGCTTACTGAGTTTTTATCCAATAAGCAATTTTATCAGTTGCTTTTCTGAATATAAAATTGTTTTTGCAGTGGTTTGTAGGTGCCATGCTTATTGTAATTGGTGTAATTATTCTAAGCAAGTCGAGTATGGAGAAGAAAACGCATATGAGTTAAGACGTTTCTGGGCAGTTCTACATCTATTTGCACCTTCAATTGTGGTTAATTGTTCATTCTGTTTCCATAGAATGTAGACCATCAAAATTCTATTGTGATGGAGTCAACACTGCTTGCTTGATCGGCACAAAAGATTTCAGCTGATAAGAGTACTTTCAATGGATTTGTCTTTGTACATTGTGCAAATTTTTGTAGACCGGAGAAGATCATGTCTGATATTGCGATGATCTGATCTTTCTTTTCAGATGCTTTTATATATAAATGAAAAACCACTTGTTATATGTGAAGACTGATGGTTATTCACTATTTTTGTCAGTTGAAACAAGATTTGAACAAAAACTTCCTACGTTTGTTTATCGCCAAATGCAATTCGGAAATATGAAATTTAAGGCTGTTGTGTGGATGCTGAACAGACTAGCGAAAAAGTATCCGTGCAGTCGACTCAACTTTTTGGAAGTGATATTTTAGTGTCATGATTGTTGTTATGATTCTTTGTGAAATGGCTACTTTGTGGGCAAAAATAAGAAAATATTGCCAAATATGAATTGACCCAATCAATTTCTAGATATAATCAATAAGTCAACCTTACTTTTCAGCTGAAAAGTTAAAACCAATTCATATTTGTACAAAAGAAAAGGGAATCCAACAATAAGTATCAGCTATAAATGAAAAATAAGAAAATTATGTCAAGATTCATATCAGGTGTTTCTCACCATTTCAACTCTTGAAAGTAGTTATTCAATGTTTGTCAACTATGTTTGACATGGTAAATCATATAAGTTAGATTGAAAGGGGCCAAAAAAAAAATAAAAAAATACAGGAGTTAACGAGATATTTCAATTATGCATTTCATTAATTTTTATCAAAACTTATTAAAAATTTGATTTTTAGCTAAACTACTATGGACTAAATGTAATTCAAAGCTACTTTTTAAAAAAGTAAGGGGCTGTTTTTAAGCCGTTTTTTATTTTTCGATTTTCTAAAATGGTGAAAATGCGTTATCCTTCTCATTTTCGAAAATAACTTTTCGAAAAAAAAAATTGTACTAAAAACACAAAATGTAGAAAACATGGTAAAATTAAAAACATGGCAAACATCCTCTTTTCCATTACCGTGCGTGAGAGCAGAGAAGCAACGAAAATACCTCCCTCACGATCGAAGACCTGCTACCTTCTTCCTCAACAATCGACCACCACCCGCTACCTAGAACACCAGATTTCATAACCATTTGAACCCCCTCACCTCCCTCTTCAACCTCTTGTCATCACCTGGCCACGGAGTTGCCCAAAATAGCCCCAATCACCACCCAAAATCGCGCTATTAGTCACGATTTTCGCCATATTTCCACCGTCGTCGGCCACCGTTTCGAGCGCGGACCACCACCACTCCACTCCTCCCAACCAGGCGCATCCAGTACCAACATATGTCACCTGCAATTTTGTCCAGATTCGAGCGAGATTGTGAAAGTAGTCTTGTGTGGCAGATTCGGTCCCAACAAAATTGATGAAATTTTGTTGATGCAAACAATCAATTTTGCTTTCCAAACATCAAGGTTGGTTTTTTGAATGGGTTGGGTTTAGTTTTTGCACATTTATTTATGGTTTTTTGTATGTTATTGCATTTGTTGGCTACTTACTAATATTGAACTTTCGAAATTGGATGTTGAAAATTAGGTGACTCTCATTATCTTGTTGGCTACTTAATGTTTCTTAAGGAGTCTGCAAACTGGTAGTCTTAGTTTTGATAAGAAATTGTTGAAATCTTTTTGCTGGAGATAGGTCTCATTATTAGAGGATAAAAGGGGCATGATTTGGATAGAGAAACAATATGATCTTTGAATGAAAAGAGTTGGGAAGTTTATAAGTTATTGGAAAGTCTTGGACAAAAAATAATAATTTACTTCCATGTTCTATCAACTTTGTAGTTATGTCTTTGGGAATGATCTATGTAAATTGCTCTTGATCCAGAAATTACTTAGACCTTCTAACCTTTTCAATGGGTGATGTTATGAAGTCCATCTAGATTTCATGTCCAAACAAGAATGCAGTTAAAACTTAACATCTAAGCACACTAAGCCTTTGGCTGAATATGATCGTTTATTAAGTTCTTACCTATTTCAACATTCTTCATTTTTTAAAACAACTCCTCTCTTAGGCTTTTGAACTGCGTTACTTGATCTCCCATGAGAATCCAGTAATGCTGTTCAAACAGGATGCTTATTGCATATGGCTTGTGTATAGCTTAATTTTCTGTGATATGTTTCTTATAAGAAGTAGGAAGCATGATCGACTTAATCTCTGGTCATTCTGTTCATTATTTTGAATGGGTGTGTGCATCTTTGAATTAATGGGTCTTGGCTTAAATGTTTCAAATTTTTGAATTTATTGATAGTCAAACTTTATTTGTCTCCTGATCTAGTTCACACTTCTCCTAATCAGTCTTGAATCTGTTTGTGGCTCAAACCCAACCTGATCACTGATTCTGCAAGGTTCATTATATTCCAACCAGAAAGTTTGCCTAACTTATATTACAATAATAAAACCTCACTTTACTTGCAAGGAAAAAGAGCTAGTCTTTCTTTCCTTTTGCTAATCTCTTGTGCCCAGCTAACATATAGCTGTACATAAAAACTGGATTAGGTGCATTAGACTTGTCTTTTTCATTTTATGCTGATTAATGATTATTCTTTTGGTTTCTCAGATGGTGGTGACGATGGATTTGATGATGATTTTGACAAGATATAGCTTGGTAAGTGTAGCGTGTTACTTGCATCTGTGGCTCTGTGTGTGTGCATGCGTGTGTCGTGGGATGGGGCCTCTCTAGTGTTCTCAGAAATTTCATTTTGTTTTATTGAAATTTGCAAATGAAACCAACAAAAAAATTGTTGCCTCTTAACTTTCATTAGTTTTGCTGGCTTTATGAACTGATGTTTGATTACCAAATTCCAGTTGCAAAAAGAGCCAAATTTTGTATATACAGTGGATATGGTTAGGTTGCAGAAAGAACCAAATTTTGGTGATGTGCAACTCAATATAGATGGGATTGTTTCGCATTTGTACATACAAATGTATTATTTGCCTCAAAAGGACTATAGACTTTTGATGTAATTTGTACGCTTGAGGTTTCAATCAAGACAAGTTTTACATTTCACGAACATATTTCATGTTATTGAATTTCGACTTATGTTAGTGGTGGAAGTGAAAAATAATTACAAATGAAATTGGTTTTAAGAACTTCAAAACTATATTTGGCTCATATTTATAAACACTCAAATCATTTTTCATCGACACTTTATTAAATAATGTATAATTAAAAATGAGTTATTTAATACATTTCATCAACACTCAAATCATTTTTCACCAACTTTAAAATTTATATGTTATTTAATACTATATTAACATTAAAATATTAAAATTTATTGAATAATCAGATTTTTTGAATAAAATATTATAAAAAAATATTCTCAAAATTTAAAAGTAAATACGTTTTCCAATTTTATGTTTCCAGAAATAGTTTTCCAGAATGACAAAAAGAACGAATTTTCTACAATTTCAAAACGACCACTCAAAACACAAAACTCAAAAATGAATTCAAAATTCAAAAATACAAAATTGAAACACGAAGAGAACAGATCCTAAATTTGTAGATGAAAACGGCCATTTGAAAATTATGAGATTACTTTTTAGGGATCATTGGGCAAAGCAGAAGATATCAGGCCTGTAGGAGAATAATTCACGGGAAAACATGGACGCCCGATTCTTGATTTTAGCATGTTTAGCCTTGCGCGAGCTCCATTTTAATGAGGTCTTGGAAAAAATATATATTTAGAAATAGTAATTTTTTTTTAAGAATGTGTGATTAAAAAAAGAAAAGTTTTGGGTTGATGTATAACATCATTTTTTAGAAAAAGTTGTAATTGAAAAGAAGAAAGAGAAAAATATAATAAAATCAAAATGGAGCCTAAACATAGGCTTAGCTGATATATTTTAGTAAATTTTGATAGAAATTGATAAAAAGTATGGCTGAAAAGTTGCAAGACCTATAAAATATGTGGTTGAAATAAATTATTAAGTTTGACTTAAATTAAAATCTAAATTTTAATTGATAGCTCTAGTGTTGACAATCAAATGAAGGATTCAATTGATTGCTAAGGTTTATTTTCATCCTTTTTCCATTTTTATGCATAAATATTAATTAAATAGAAAAAGAAATGCTTTTGTTGGTCTAACAACGGACAACATATGCCAAATTATTTGGCTTTCTACAAAGGATTTTGCCAAATGACCCGCATGGTTGACACAACAGGTAATCGTACCCTCACATACCAAGGTGGCTCCCACCTGAATTTACTTCTGTAATGTGTTGTATGTCCCATAATAGGTCCCATTCTTCGACCCTTTCCCGGAAGTTGATGACTATTCATAACTATTACCTTGACACCAAAGAAGAGTTTGACCCAATCGGGTCAAGTTATACTTGTTCAAGTTGATTCTGTAGTAATACGATCAGCTAAGCCTTATTTGGCCACTCTAGAGCAACTGCTCATGGCCATTATGGAAGCGTGGAGGTTCGAGTCCTCTTCAAGGCATAATATTGAGAATGCTCATTGAATGAGCAATACCCATGCTTTAGCAGTTGGCGCAATGGCTCTGGTGCAACAGCAAGCACCAGTTTAACTTGAGACCAAAGGCAAGCATGACATCATTATGAACATAAGGTCCCAAGGTATGGAATCCCAGAGTGGACCCCTTTTTTTATTTCATTTCTTTGGACCTGGAAAGAATTTGTCGATATTTTCGATTAAATCTTCGAAAGAGAGGGGTACCTTCGGGAACGCGGACACAGGTGGTGCATGGTTGTAGTCAGAATTTCTTTTTTCATCTTTACAAAAACAAAAACAAAAAATAAAAAATAGGAGGAAATTGTGGCACGTTCACTAAAAAAAAAAAAAAAAAAAAAATCTTTTTGTAGTCAATCATTTATTAAGAAAAATTGATAAGACTCAATCGTCTTTCGAAAAGGGATGCAGCTATGTTGAAAAGGCAATTATCTCGCTTGCAAACATATCTAAGGAACTCGAATAAATAGCCCCGTAACTTCGGGGAAGGGGTGCCTCCTCACAAAGGGGGTCGCAGTGACCAGGCCGGGGCGATGGTTTACAAAAAGCACAGGTCTCATCAAAGTCATAAGACCATGTATGCCAGGCATAGCTTTTTATGATTATATCGGCAATAATTCGGCAAAAGGAGGATTATTCAAGGCAATTTCAATGGATAACGAAGATGGAATAGTGGTTGGAATGGGATTCCAACTCAGCACCTTTTGAGTGAGATTTTGAGAAGAGTTGCTCTTTGGAGAGCACCATACGATGAAAGTTGTAAGAGCTGTGTTCAGGGGGGTGCCTTCGGGAACGCAGACATAAGTGGTGCATGGCTGTCATCAGCTCGTGCTGTAAGGTATTGGGTTAAGTCCCGCAATGATGGCAACTAACTATCTCTGTTCCTTCCGTTTGAAGAAATGATGAATCCCAAAGAATCGATCTTTCTTTTGGTTGTTGAATCTCTCTTTGATTGATCAATGTGTGATATTCCAAAGGGACGCCTCTTTTGATGAATAAATGGAAATATTCACAAAAGAATTGAAATCTTAGCCCGGTGCTCGAACATTGGCTCAAGGCATTTTCTCTACCACTTCTTACCCTGAAAAAGCAGGGGCACGTTACGTTCTTGAACTGGAATCATAAGATAAAAATTTTTTTTTGATCAATTATTTGATAATTATTAGTAACAATCTAAGTATTTTGATTACTATTGGCATCGATCGTGATTCAGGCCCCAATATCGACCTTTTGGACTTGAGTAGTTTGAAAAAAGATATACAACCTTGGCAAGAACGGCGTTCCCCAGAATATATGACTCATACTCCTTTAGGTTCTTTAAATTATGTGGGTGGCGTAGCTACCAAGATTAATGCAGTTAATTATGTCTCTCCTAGAAGTCGGTTAACTACCTCTCATTTTGTTCTAGGATTCTTTTTCTTCATAGGTCATTTGTGGCACGAGCCATTACTATATTAACATAGTGCTAGAAAGAGTACCATGCCGCATCTAGACTTCAAACGGTCTTAACAGTCCCACATTATTAAGAACTCATACTGAAATTTACAAAGTCGTCTTTTTGAAGATCCAAGAAATTCTAGGACTTGGAGAAAACTTTGTACACAATCGAGTTCGTATTATTAGTTTATGCTCAATAAATTGATTGATAGGAGTCGCGAGATGGATAAATGTTACAAATGATGAATCAATTTCGTTTTATATGCGAAAAGATGTTCCGCTAGAAATATTTTTGTTATTGCTTCGACTCATATTTCCCAAAAAGTGGATCCCGCTCTAATAGCTCCGAATAAATTAAATATGTGCATTAAGATATGAAGGCTTCTTATTCCACAACAAATCATCAACAAAATCGATCTATTGAAATACTGATCATAAGCAAGTCCATAAATATACTCTTGAAAGATAAATGGATATAAGAAGTTGTGTTGTTGAGATCTATCTAGCTGTAAATATCTTTGGATTTCCTCCATTTGAAATTTTATTCGAACAATTCACATCTTCTTAACCTGAAATGAAATGGATGGGGAGGGGAGAGGAAAGGTTCCTTTTTTTTAGGGTACTTCTGAGAACAGATCTAGTGGAGAGGTCTGGTATATGAACCCACACGAAGAGTAGTGATTTAACTCTAAGAGAAAGGTCTAATGATCTCGATGTAACTTAAAAATACAGGCATTTGTGGGTATGCTAACCCAATAACGAAAGTTTCGTAAGGGGACTGGAGCAGGCTACCATGAGACAAAAGATCTTCTTTCTAAAGAGATTCGATTCGGAACTCTTATATGTCCAATGTTCAATATGGAACACATTCCAACCAATTCCCAAAAAATATAAATTTGTATCATATTGGAACTAGTAATCCAGTTCATATAATGTCTTTTTTGGGAGCTAGAGGAAATGCATCTCAGGTACATCAATTAGTAGGTATGAGAGGCTTTCACGGCTACTGAGAACGAATTAAATCAAATGGTTATATTTCTCAATCTTTCTGACTTGCTTTTATGGAACCAAGGTCAAAAAGATTGAAAAAATCAGTCATTCACAACCACTGATGAAGGATTCCTCGATCTCGCGAATTACTTCAACAGGCAATAGCTAGAATTTCCAGAATATTTGCCTTATGTAACACGTTGGGATTATTTAGCTACTGTGTTCACAGAAGCAATAACCATAAATGGACCAGAACAACTAGGCAATATTGTTACCCGGATCTTCTTCCATAATGGTACGGAACAATAGTCTCATTGGGGTAGATACAGAAATTACTTTAATTGACGAAATGCTTCAAGGAGTTGAAAATAAGCATAGATTCGAAGATTTCCGAATAGAGCAACCTTTCGAATTGTTGCTGAATCCATGGGCAAGCAAGAGACAACAGCAAAGTGGTCTCATAGTACTTCCCTCAGATTTAGCCAAGGAAGGCACAACGTTGATGCTCATTGATAAATAAAAAAGATACATATAGAATTCTGCAGAAAGCCGTATTCGATGAAAGTCGTATGAATCGAAAGATTCATGTTTGGTTTGGGAAGGGATTATGGAAAATCGGTGGTTTCTTGGTCATGACCAGTTACAGCTAAAGTTCCATTAAAGAGCGTTTCCACGTGGTAGAACCTCCTCAGGGAATATAAGGTTTTCACGTGAGCTGGGTTCAGGACGTCGTGAGACAGTTCGGTCCATATCTGGTGTGGGCGTTAGTATTTCATTGCTACAAGTATGGATCGTTGAAAATAATAATCCATGTATTTGGCTATTTCCCTTCAACCAATCATGTCAAATAAATGTACAGTTGAAGGAATTCTACCGGCAGAAACGAATCAATTTAGATAGTCCTTTTATGTCCTGTCGATTCATTTCTAGATCGAATTGATACATTATTCATTTATTATTGGATATTTAGAATGAAATGTAAGACAAGAGGTGTGATGTGTGCATTTATTTGCTTTCATATATCCCAAACCCACTCATACTTGGTAAAGCAAGGGAGGCTTATTTGGGTCGTGTATAAATGCCCTGTCTAAACCTTTTGATGGTAGAGG